TTAAATACCTTGAGTGCTGGTCTGGCCAGGGCTCGAACCCTCGACCTTCTGCTCAACAGTTGAACCAACCAGGAGGTGGTGGCCTTGCTTTGATTCTGGCCTAAACCTGCAAATATTTATCCATGCAGAGTCAAGTCCAACAAGATGCATTATTATTAACACCTTATATACACTACAATTTTGTCAGGGCTTGCATACAAAAAAATTCATAACCCACCTTTGTGTACTACAATGTATTAAAACATGAAATCAACAGAATTATTGATAAGTTGGCTGGCAGGTGAGCCAGAAAGTTTTATGAGGCCAAAATGTGCGACAATTGATTGATCACCGCTAGAAGCAAAGTTTAAAGATCTGTAAAGTGCCATGTTCATGTATCCAACAATATTAGTGCTATTTATAGCATTGGATTAGCCTAAGGTAATCAAAATCTGCAATGCTGCTTAAGTTACCTTATACATTTGTATTTTTCAGTAGCTACTTCATCACTGCACCAAGTGTCTTCAGACCAGGGCAACCATTTAAACTCAGAGTCTGGGTGAATGATACTATAACTGACCCTGTGAACATAACATGTGGTATTTTGGACTCCAACAAAAGAACTTTGATTGCAAGCAATAGTGACACATTTACCAAAGGTCAGTTCGGTATAAATTATGTGTATCTCTCTTTATTCCTAATGTTGAAATGAAAATTTTTTTTCCTAAACCTTTCTTTGGCATTTGCAGGACCCAGCAAGGAAATCACATTACAGGTACTCATGCATGCTGATTGCTCTTATATATTTTTTTCTATCTATTTTGTTTTGCAAGTATCTAAGTTATCAATTAAAGATTCACCCAAGTATGAATTTCAGTTCTTAACAAGTTTCTGCTAAAAGTATTTTTATACCATAGAAACAAAGATGTGTATTATGTAAAATTTCTTTCCTCCAGGTTCCCCATGGTGTTGCATTGACAACTGTTACGTATGATTTGTCAGTGAATGGGACAGGTGGTGCCAAGTTCTCTAAAACAAAATATGTTCGCTTTGTGGAAAAGGGTTTTAGCATTTATATTCAGACTGACAAAGCTGTGTACAAACCAGGACAGAAAGGTACCTTTAAGTTAGCTTATTATACATGTATACCTCATTGATTTTCTCCCAGATCTAATAGATATTTGGTTCAGTCAGGGGCATGTCTTCTTGTATGGTTAATTCTGTAATATGCTCCCTGATTAGTGCCTTCTAAATTCTGATAGCCTTCAGACAGGAGTGTAATAACATGTATTAGCTCCTATCATTTATTATTTCGGCAATTTGTTTTAATATATATTGCATTAGGAACAAGTGGGGGTATAAATTGTTTCTGAGAATGAAAGAGTTATATTTATTGCATTATAACTGGGGTTGTAAGGCTTTTAAAGTTAAATCATAATAGATCTCCGATGAGTTAACTATTGAAAAAAATTGGGGGAGGTGTATATGGTTAACCTGACGCTCATTAAATTATAAATGAGACCATTTCAAGGAATATGATACAGGTACATCTAGATAGAAACTAATTAAAATTATTTAGCTGCTGGAGATGATTGAAGTTATCATTTTTTATCACAATTTTTCAACTTCAGTTCTCATGAGAATCTTTGGAGTGCATTCAGATTTAAAACTGTATACTGGCAATGTGAGTAATATGAACTTACAGATGTATAATGATTATTTTCTCCCATAAGTGAACTAACACCTTTATTAAAAATTGGTTGAACTGATGCGGTTGTATTACATTTCAATTCATTGATTAAAAAAATTATGTTAATTTATCTAAAACCAAGGAAAATACAATAAACTTTAACACAAATAGCTTAAAAATCGTTTTGACATAATTATTATAAACCACAAATTTTAAGTAGAAAGTGTCTCTTGAATTCAAATTGACTGGAATTTTGTTTCTTTTCTACAATTATTTTCTTAACAGCTGACTGTGGACATATTGGTGAGTCATTTGAATGACAATTTGTTTGTTTTGTTTTGTTTTTTTTTTTCACCTGTAGAATGAAAAAAATTAACTATACATCCAAAGGCATGTGCATGTATGCATGGTTAAAGATCGAAATCAGTATTTATATATATTTATTGTTTTCTACCGTATTAAATTAAGGTAATTTATAAAGTTTTAACTCAGTTTTATTTTGAAATTCCTCTCTTTAATTACAGGATCCCAATGGAAATAAGATGGCTCATTGGGTGAATGTGAACAGCCAGTCAGGTGTGATGGTTTTTTTGTTTTTGTTTTGGAAATTTTGTTGCCCTTTATTAGTTTTCAGCATTAAACAGTGAGAATTTTTTACAACATTACTGTAGTTATTTTTTTAAATATACTGATTGCTAATTAGGTGTAACTCATTAAAGATAAAAACATTTACTATAAATGCTACGAAAAATAGATAGTGGTATGATATGTGATATTTGTTTTACAATTTGCAGGTGTCGTCAAGAAAGAATTTCTCCTTTCCACCCAGCCAGTGGAGGGAAATTGGAAAATCTCTGTCTTAGCTGCTAAGGTATCAGATACAAACAAATTGAACAAAATGAATTAATTTTAGTTGTTCCTTGAGTATGCTTGACTAAACCTGGGAGTGTTTAAAAAGTGCATACTTCTAATCTGTTACCCCATTCAAATATTGATAAGGAATTATTAATGATGTAGTGATTTTGCTTTGTAGAGCAGAACTGAAAAAAATAGCACCTTCTATCTCTCTTGCACTGATTGATCTCCCAGTCAAAAACAAAACTGCAGCCCGGCTTTATTAAATCATTAAATCAGAAAGAGATGAAATTATTATGTCTATTGAGTAGTTATGAAGTGAGGTATGTTAGGGAGTAACTGGTGTAATATTTTCTGGTACCAGTAGCTTCATTGTAACCAAAAAAAATATTTCACCTGTAAATCTGAAATATTCTTTTTTTTTTTTTTCTTATTAGGATCAGAAAGCAGAACAAGTTATAGAAGTGAAGCCATATGGTTTGTGCATGTTCTTCCCATAAAATCGTCACAAATACATTGATTCTCTAAAATGTAAATCCATTCCTCATGGATTTTTTTTTTTTTTTTCGGTCAAATGTACAATTGGTGAATCTTAATCTTGTTTGAATAATTATTGTTTAATTTATGGCAAATTGAACTAAGTCAAGATGAATTTATATGGTAGATTGTCTGTAGTTCTCACAAAGGAGGTTTAGTTTGTGATTAAATTACAAAAAAATAAACAGCAGATCCAGGACTGGAAAAATGGTAACAATTGAAACTAATTGCATATTTTTCCTTTGTTTAGTGCTACCCAAATTTGAGGTAAAGGTGAACCTTCCAGATTATGCCCTCGAGAAAGACAAATATATCCATGGTTCAGTTGATGTCAAGTGAGTTCTCTATGTTAATTAGGTTTTGTATATGACCCACTCCTCTAGAATTTCCTTCAAAACAGTCAGTAATTTTCAAGCCCCTGGAATAGAAGTTTTTAAGGGATATATAAGTATATTCCAGGTTTAAATTGGCACCTTTCTCTAAGTATATGTACATGTACATAGCTGGGTGCTGCATACATCTCCAAGCTCCAGGATGTCCCCCCCTCCCCTCCCTCCCTGTATGTATATCACAATCACTTGGCATATTTCTTTTGCATTGGCCCCAGCCCAACTCAATAGAGTGCCCATGCAGGAAGTAATTTCCCATTATCATCCTGATGCAGAATTGTATTTAAAAGCAAGAAAAATGTGGACTAGAGGATGCTGCTCAAATTAACATCAAATTTTTAGGGCTTAAGTATTAAAAAATGTGCGTTGAATAGTCAGGAAAACTGCTATTACAAATGAAAAGGCTAATACACACTTCAAGAACACTTTTCCATGGGATTCAGTAAATTAATTGAATGACAATATTTCCTTGAAAGTTTTTTTTGTCCTTTTCGTAAGGTACACCTATGGAAAGGGTGCAAGAGGACGGGCAAATATTCAGTTGTATTTCAACACCTATGGCTGGCACTCAAAGAAGTCCTCATACGCAAAAGACATTTTTGTATGTACCAGGAAGTATTGTGCAAATTGCTTTGAATTGCATTGTATGTCTATAAAAACTAATGGACTGTGTGTGTTCCAGGTTGTTGATGGCTATGGCAAATTTTCATTCAGAGTGAAGGATGTTCTTCAGTTATTCAAGAACAGTTTTGGTGATCACATGGATGGGAGTTACCTCTTTCGCTATGGTTACAGAATGGAAGTTAATGCAACATTTTATGAGGATCTCACTGGGAAGCAAGCTGCCGGTCAAGGAAGCATTTCTTTTCATGAGATAGATGTGAAGTTGCAATGGGCTAAATTCAATCCAAAGACCTTTAAACCAGGACTACCTTACAAGGCTATGGTAATTGAATGGCTAAAATTTATTTTTCCTGGATCAAATCAAATTATCTTGTTGTATTTTTGATGAAAAGCTTCCATGAGGGGGGGTTATTGCATGATTCAGGATTCAATGGTTTTAGGATTAAATGATTAAATGATTCAGGTTCAGGATTAAATGTTTTCAATTTTCATGACCAGTGAAAATACAAATTAAAAGCCTGTGAACTGTAGCTGTTTTTTATTAATGTGATAATTAAGGTACTTGAACTTTTTAGTTGGTTTATACAATTTTTCATTGTATTATTTCTACATTTTGATGTGCGTGAAATGTGTAGGAAATCCCTCCTCCACGTTGCCTCTCTAATTCATGTTTAATTGTCTATTGGATTACTTTTTTTTTTAATTACTTGATTATTTGTGAGGGTGTTTTTGATTTGGTATTGTTCATTTGTTTATCATTCCATGTTTGTTTGACTTTTTCCTCCCTCATATCTTTGCTTCTTTTCGCTTCTTTTCTTTTCTTTTTTTTTTTTTTAATACCATGAAGTTCAGTATCAAAAAGCTCTACTTTTCCCCTGAAGATTACTAGGGCAAATCAAAATGTAAATTGCTGGAAAATGTTGGTGTAATATCATGAACAGACATCCATGCATCAGCTAGTAGGTATAGCAGTCTGGATGGGAGAGATGCTTGCCTTTCCTTGAGCGAGAATTTAGTGCAGACCAAATAACAGGCTCCACAGCAGTTTCCATTAGCCTGCCAGCAATCTCTCATTATATAAGGGCTTCAGGATGTACATTTCTCTTTGCCCATGGGAAGATTTGAGACAAATTGGAGTAAGGTTTATTGGGTAGAATGGCACTTAATTAACCATACGAGTCCCCTTGGGTGCAATCTTCTCACCAGCTCACATTGCTTGAGGCCTCATATTTTCCCATGCCTGTGCTGAATTGCTAAGAATGAAACCTGCCAGCGGGCTAAGCTTCCATTAATTTTGGTATCAACATACTGACTACATTTCCCTGTATATTGTGTTTAGGTTACTGCTGTACAACCAAACAACGAGCCGCTCAGTCCAACTAAACTGCAAGAAATCCAGGGGAAGATCAAGTTAACAACAAAGTATAAATGGAGTGACAATGGGACTGAAGAATTTTTGCCACATTCAAGTGATGGAAGCTTCATCATCACAAAGGATGTTCCTTCCTCCGCAAATCACTTAGATTTAAAGGTATGTTACAAGAGGATTTTCATCGAGAAATGTAGTGGCTGGAAAATATGGTAAGGTAGCTGGAGAATATCTTCCTTTACTTGATAAAATAGCTCTTAATTCGTCAAATAGCTCACATGCTATTGGTCCAAGTGCATCGATGTTACCAATTATGCCTGGCTAAGAATATCCAGTGATATACCCAAAGTGATATTCCCCAATTTTTAAACCTTATGTCTACTATGATACAAGTCTTCATTTAAACCCTATGGTGTGGGTCAGGTGTAAATTCAAAATTTTGAACTCTGGTATTTATGTATACTTGTTAATTTTTCCATTTGCAGGCAGAATATTATGAAGGTCTGAAAGGAACAAGAGCATATTTGACAGCTTCTGAGGCCAGCTCACCAAGCAAATCTTTCCTACAGTTATCAACAAGCACACCCTCAGTAAAGGTTCTACCAATTTTTCATCAAATCTTTGCCTGATTTTGCACCTATAGTGTCAATTACAGCTTTACTGGTTGTTTATCCAAGAGAATGACAGGCTCACTAGCTCACTGACTGAGTCATTGACATATATGGTCTCAATATGACAGACTTAGTTTTATTACGCGAAGCGAGAAATGCAGAACTTGTTAGTTAACAATTCACTATTGTTGGGCATGCATAAAGAATCTGGAAAGAAAGCAGTAAATTAATCGTTTTGAGAAAAACAGCATATCTCAGATCATCCTATCTGTTTGGCTAACTGACCAACTGACGGACGTAAAAAGACTACCGGTAGATTACACGAATAAAGGCTGAAAGTTTCTAAAGAAACTGTGGTGCTGCGTCGGTGGGGGTAACAAGATAATTGGTTATAAAATTATCAACTAAGTTGAAATTGTAAATTGGCCACCGTAACGAATAAAAAAGCTGAAGTTTCTAGCGTTAGCCCTTCGTCAGAGCGAGTTAAGTATCTTAGCATACTTGCCAGGGGATTACGTTTACTTAGACCAGGAGTCCGCAGCTGTCAATTAATAATGTTTTAGACCCCACTAAGGCAATAGTGTATTGGTCAACTTCAAACCCTTGTGAGGCACTGAATATGCTGCATGGGAATACTCTACCTGGAGCTGTTTTGGATTGTTTATTGTTGTCTATAGGCAGGGAATGATATAGCTTTGGCTGTGGAAGCTACCTTTGAACTCTCAGAGTTGAGATATATGGTACGTTAATTAACTATCAATCTTCTTTGATTATAAGTCAGACTGATCGAGCTGTATGTATTTTGAGAGAAAGGTTTGACTGAGTGTCAAAGATGGTGGGTTATTGTAGTCTGTTCGACTAATTGTATAATTATGATTACTTTGAAGAATTGAGTGTCAAAAGTGTTCCGGGATTGCTTTGATTTTGCTTCTGCTTTGTGATTGGTTAAAAAGAAGTCACGTCACACTCTGATCCAATCAGATGCAAAACTAAAACCAATCGCGAATTGGCAACTCGCGTTTTCCCGCGTTTTAAGCAGGTGTCTTGTTAGTCTGGATTTCCATTGGTTCTCTGTTATGCTAGTCTTTATTCTGGTTAGTTGTTGTAATTGTATAGGCTTTGTAATCGTGACAGCAACGCGATTTAAGCTTTAAGAACACATGTGTCGATTTGTTTAAGGTGCTTTTGATCCCAAGCCTTTGCATTTCCATTGTGGTCATTTCGTTTTCCTTTTTTTTTTTTTTTGCTGTGAACAGGTTTTGTCACGTGGCATGTGGGTCAAAACTGGTTCTCACATTGTGTCTCCTGGCTCCACCAAAGCCACCTTCACCATCCAGTCCCAAGCAGAAATGGCGCCTAGTGCTCGTCTGTTAGTGTACTGCATAAAACAAAATGGGGAAATTGTTGTAGACAGTCTAAATATCGAAGTAGAGGATCCTTTCCGAA